GTCAAAAACCCCAAAACTGCAAGGTTTCAAAACAATGGCCGTAACTTTTTCGCGTTTTGGTTTTAACAAAGTTTTTCGGATTCGGAATCGAAAACTGAGGCGACTGATGTGTATTTCGTGAATTTTGAAAAAAGCTCTTTGTTGTTTTAAAGCTGAGCATCTAGCGGATCTAGCCATGTAAAAATATGGGCTCTATGATCTCTGCAAAAATCTGAATTAGATCTGCAAAGTTTGTGTGGCGCTTTTGAGCCGTGCCGGTTTTGGGCACTAGCAAAAATTCAGTGTCGGCTCTGAAACCTTGGAAGTTAGTTTTTTAGATTCAGTTTTCGATTCCGAATCCGAAAAACTTTGTTGAAACCAAAACGCGAAAAAGTTACGGCCATTGTTTTGAAACCTTGCAGTTTTGGGGTTTTTGACAACTTCCGAGTTTTTTGAATTAATGGACTGGTAAAAAGTCTCCCCAAAACGCCAGGCGCACATGTTCGTGATCAGCGCACAATTTTCTATCGATTGGTGTGTAAAACGTTGAAAAATAAATTTCACTTGAAGTCTGCTTTTCGTGCATCTTACATTTACTAATTTACCGTACCTAACAGTTCGTTGTAGAGGGGTTTTTCTATCGAAGCTAACTTGAAATTATTAATAGCGCGGGCAAAAAAATTCACATATAAGATCGGTATTTTTTAGCCATTAAGACAGATTAGAAAATGTTCTACTGTAAATTATTATAGGTAAGTATTGTTAGTTTGATTTCAAATTCTCATTTTTATTTTTGATTAAAATGCATTTCAGAATAAAAAGAGAACAGCTATTTCTGCTTAAAGATTCTAATTCGATATAAAATGAGATTTTTTTGCATATAATTTTTCAAACTACTTTTGTGTCTGTAGCATTTCGTATAACTAATCATATTTACAAATTTTGTTTTTATTTTTGTTGTTATTCATGAAGGAAGATCATGACGCAATTATACCCATTAGACAGAGTGGTATTGCTGGTGCTTCGTACAATCTTATTAACAGCATTGTCGGAAGTGGAGTGATAGGTAAAAAAATAAACATATATCTTTTCTTTGTATATAATAACGTTTCATGTTCTTTATAAACAGGAATGTCCTATGCTTTTCGACAAGCCGGTTTTGGTGTTGGAATTATTATATTGTTACTTGTTGCCGTTTTAACTGGTGAGATTTTGGTGAGCTGAAAATGTTTTAGCATAGAAAGTAAAAAAGAAAAGTTTTGATGTATATTTAATTGTTTCTTTTTTTTTTTATAAGATTTTTCCATCACATTACTACTTCGAAGTGGTGATTTGGCAAAAGTGACAACATATCAAGATTTGGTTTTACATGTGATGGGAAAACCAGGTAATTATAATATCTCGTTTAAATTACTAAGCCTTTTTTAAATGTTTTGTTTATGTCTACAGTAATTGAATAAATTTTATTTTTAAGGTTTTTATTGGTTATCATTGGTTCAATTTGGATACCCTTTCATTTGTAATTGATGAGTTTATATTAAATGAATCAATAGTAAACAATACATCATATTAACTGTGTTTAGGTTTGGTTAGTTATAATATTATAATTGGCGATACTGTTACAAAAGTAATTCGGCGACTTTTTGTAGGTACGTTTGGCTAAAAAATATCATAATCTACTTATTAAAGATTATCTTAATTAGTACATGCAGAGCAAATAAAGTTTTTTTTGAATTATTTTAACTTGTATACATTTGAAGACTCTTACTTTTTAATTTGATATTTTGTTTTCAATTTAGATGCACCCATTATTTTTCATAACCGTTATTTTATTATTTTTCTTTCATCCATCTGTGTTACACTACCATTATCATTGTATCGTAATATTGCTCGATTATCTCGTGTAAGCTTTTGATTACAAACATTCTTTTTTTCTTTAAAATAGTTCATATAACAACATGTTTAGATTTCGTTAGTGGGTCTAGTGCTGGTGTTTATTGTTTTGTTAGTATTAATCAAACGTGGCTTCAATATCGTCGATCATATGTAAATATTATGATTCTACTACTATGGATATTGTTTTCTCTCTTGTCTTCATTAGTCCGATAAAAGAGCGTCATTGGAATTTTGCTGATACAAATGTCGCCGAAGGTTTTGGAGTAATGGCATTCGCCTTTATGTGTCATCATAATTCATTTTTAATATATAATTCGATGGAAGATGCTACTTTACCACGATGGCGTTTAGTGACAACAATTACGGTTTTTGTTTCGTTAGCATTTGCCATGTCGTATGGTTTAGCCGGTTATATGGTATTTGGACAAAGTGCGGAAGGTTTGTTTGGAAAAAAAGAAAAGAGACTATTGATATCTTACATTTATATATTTTATTTCATTTTAAGGTGACCTATTGGAAAATTATTGTCATTATGATTCATTAATAAATATGATGCGATTGATGTATGCTTTTAATATTATGCTAACATTTCCTCTTGAATGTCTTGTTTGTCGACAGGTAATAAAATGTTTGATTTTCATATAATATACAGAAATTATTATTCCTACAAGAAATATGTGATTTTAGGTTGCTGAAATTTTAATTTTTAAATCTTTAAAATTCAATTTTCATAATCATCATATAATTATAACAATTGTTATTGTTATTTGTTCAGTATTGATATCTTTATCAACGGATTGTCTAGGAATTGTACTAGAATTAAATGGAACATTAATGGCATCCTCATTAGCTTATATTTTACCTTCATTATGTTATATTAAATTAAAATCAAGTGATTCATGGTTAAGATTTGATATACTGGCAGCAACTATAATGTTGACAATCGGTATCTCTTTGACAATAGCCGGTTTTTTATTACCATTACGACAGGCATTAACAGAAGGCTATAAATGTAAACATGGAATGGATCCGGATTATTGTTTAAAAATATTTCCAAAAACACATAAAAATATATCGTTGTTAGTAAAAACGGTTATTCATTAGTTAAGAACAGGCGTGCATCCATTTCGGAAAATATCACATTCGATGATAGATGAAATCGATTGAAATCGATTAGATAACTCTAGACCTAACCTAGAAATAACCTAGAAAAAGTTTATTTAGATTTGTTTATTTTGAATATCAAAAGTACTGTAAATAGCGACATCGAATAAAAAGTCATTGTTTTTTGACAAGCGATAATCTTTTTTTCAAAAGAATTGAGAATAGTATCAAATGTGTGGCCTTGTTCAGCCCTGATCTTTTCTTATATTATTGTTTTCTATATATCTTATTTATTTTTCAATAGATGTTTTGCTAGTCTGAGATCTTTGACTTTCATTTTATTGTGTTATTAAACAGAAGGGCAGTTCTTAGCCTTTACATAATGTAGACGCATGTAAAACATTGTCAGCTCATTACACAATTTTTTTTTCTCAGTTTCAGTATTTTGCCTACTGCAATTAATTTTATCTGTGATTTTTAGAGAAAATGTGATATTTTTCTCTCCACTAATTGAAAAATAGAGTTTGAATAATGTCATCTATGCTTTTATATTCTTTATCGCTTTATAGAGACAGAATCTCTCTCAACGTTGTTATATTTGTTTCTTACTAATAATAAACATTGTTATCTTTTTCACTGTTATATATCAAATTAGAAACTTTTGTAATTACTGAATATTTTAACATCAATGACCTTCAATACACATACTTATCAATTTTTATAAAAGATATTTAGCCTTTAGTTATAGGATTATTAAGGAAAAAATATTAACGTATCCTATTCGCATTAGAAATACACAGGACACAAGTGCGTTTAGGTACAAATTCTGTACTATTTGTCGATGTAGAAATAACAATGACAATTTATTCACAATAGTTTCTTCGATATTTATATGCACAAAAAAGTTTAAATCATTTCTTAGAACGGTATCTAAATCAGAACACAATTCACATTAAATGATTGCGTTTTAAAGACCTTAGTAATAGAGGTAAGTGAACAATTTATCAATCGACTTTTCTTCTTTCTTGTTCTAATGACGTGATTAGTCTTATTAAAATGTCATATTATTTTCTGTTCTTCTGAAGTCATGCTCTGTCCAGGTTTTCTAATGTTATTTCTCTCGTTCTTCTTTGTGTGGTCGATGAGATATATATATATATATATATATATATATACATAGTTGTATTTTTTCATGTTTGATATTCTTGTTTTCTTACCGAATAAAGCAGACAAGGTAAGAAGTAATCAATTTTAGATTTAATTACCTAATAAGATCTATAGGTAACTAAAGGTTATAGAGAAATTAAAGTTAACAGCACTCTGCATGTGTGATTATTATCAAAATTTTCATCTCATTATTTTGCCAACATCAGAAACAGATAAACTCTATCTATTTGTTTTATCAGTAAATGTTTTAATCATTTTTAGTAGCAGAATTTCCTTTAAATTTGGAGAGGGATTCTGACCATCGGACAACAACTCATCGGTCTTCCCACAAAGAGTGGCACGTTTTTCACCTTGGGTTTGTTGAAAAATATTGTAGTTACCTAATCGCAGATAAAATTCTAAAAAAACACATCAACATCGAGTTACTATTTCAAAATCGAAAAAAAACAGTGAACTATTGTAATTATTGATGTGTTAGTTTTAGCATTTTACGTTTGCCTCTTGTGAACAGGTTAATTTTAATACTCAAACAAAGGACGTTCAATCAAACATTGTAGCGTATCATTGATTCTCATATAGTATTTGAGTGGCGAAAAGAAAAAAGTGTAGATATCATGTAAAGAATAACATTAAACTTGAGCTTACTATATTTGGATTCCTTATTCAAAACTGCATCTAACCAAGGTACTCCCGAGTCTCCAAACCACAAAGTGGAATTTTGGCAAGAGCCGGAACGTATATGAACCCTACTAGTTTTTTATGTGGAGGGCTAGACCTTTGACTCACACATCATTAGAGTGGCCAGGTAACCAGCTTTAAAAATATGTAGAGCTTTCTTTCAAATTTTGTTTCGTTGCTGAGAAAATTCATTTTTTCTAATTCAGAGGCGAAAAGTCGAAATTCTGTCCGTAGTGCTCAATTTTCTCGATCAAAATTCAACTTTTGAGCAATAAAAATATCATATTCGGAATTAGGATCAAAAACTGAGTCGACTGATGTGTATTTCAAAATTTTTTACTTGATATTCATTTATGGTGAAAATCTTAATAGTTTGGTTAGTTATCAAATTTTAAATATAGTTTATAAATAAACTACAATTAAGTTGTTCATCAATATCACAGAAAAATAGAGTATTGTTTTTACTATCGCTGTATATAAAGGGAAAGTTTCCTCAAGCTTTCTATACGGAAATAAAGTACCTCCGCCACTGCTTTTGTATTGTTCTAAGTCAAACTATTTAATCAAATACCATGTTGGTTTTAATAATTTTGTATTATATTCTCATCTCATTACTTTGTTTCATTTTGAAAAGGATCTAAAGTGAGGTATTTCCGTTTATTACAGTATAAATTTCGCCGTATAAATAAGTAAACTTTGAAAAAGAATTAATTGAGCATTTATATAATTATTTTTATTCAAACAAATATATTTTAACGTATGTGCAAACGCGCAGATAAGGTGCACGATTGATCAATAGCTTGTGTATTTTTTCTGTTTCAAAATAGTAATCCTTTGTAAGAAAAAAAAAAAGTACAAAAAAAATAATATAATAACATATTCAGTAAAAGGAGAGATTATAAATAAATATAATATATAAAAACAATGAATTGGATGGCATGCTTCTTTGTTTAGATGATGGATATAAGTGAAGAAGAGTGCTTACATTTGAGTTAATGAAGAGAACAGGATATGACAAATGCAAATTGAACACTGGTTTTAAAACTCAAATATTTATAACTCATAAACAAACAGATTAAAACAAAAACACGTCTATTCTTTTACTTCTACAATAAGAGGTGCTTCATAGAGACTATGACGTATTCCAAATGAATATCCGGGAGCTGCTTGTTTGTGCATCCACACCTAAAGAAAAAAAATATAAATATAAAATAATTTTTTTGAAATTAAATTATTTTAAACATACTTTTTCCGGTGAATAAACACCAGGACCTGGTTTTGACGTATTATCACCTGGCATTGAATTTCTTGCTGTCATGCTATAACTTGGTGGCTCTTGTTTATAAATACTTGGTTTAATAACATCGTCTAAAATATTTAAATGTTATCTAGATAAGAACAAAAGACAAAAGAGTTAATAACTCACATGTTCCTGGCCCTAAAATCGAGAACATATATTTAAATTATATATGTAAACACAATGAAAATGTCAACATTTACCGGGAGTTCTTTGCAAATCTTCATCGAATCCTCCTCGTTTACTCCTTCCAGTCAGCGTATATATTGGAGCTTGTTTTTTCACACTAACAACAGTTTTTCCGAGCATTGCTGGTAAACCATAGGCATTTGGAGCTGGCGTATTATCCAAACCAAAATACTTATGTCTTGAGCCAAATGTGTATGATGGCGGTGATTCAAAAACACTTTTCATTGGGCCATGTTCTTCTGGTTTATCTAAATATACGAGAAGAGATTGAATAGATTAACAGTGTTTTAAATCTACTTACATGTTCCAGGACCGGGATTTTGATCTGCTTTTAGATCACCACGTCGAGCATAAAGACTATATTGTGGTGTTCCATCTTTACCATCACGAAAAATTTTTGGATTCTAAAGATAAACTGTGTTTTAGAAATCAAAAGATATGTGTCTGCTAATAACTTACGGGAAAATAACATGGACCAGGTGATGCTTCATCTTTAAATTTACCATGTTTTAATCCAAATGAATATGCTGGTTGTTTTGAATGAACTGAACGTGGATCATGATTACCACTGCCTACTAGTCCAGGTAACTGATAGACGGGTCCCGGCGTAGAATTCATTGCCGATATTGGCCCTCTAAAAATTAAAAGAGTATAAAAAATCTTTTTCTTCTTTTCCGTTATATTAAACTTTTTTCTAATTTACCTCGGTTTTGTCTCGTTCCAAACCATTGTTCAAATGTATGTTTCTTATGTATATACAATGGCTTATTTTAGCCGAGAAAAATAATCTAAAATAGATAAATAGAACAGAATTGAGTAAGAAAAATTTACTTAAGAAAGAGATTGAAATGTTCATCTAGATGCATGAATGAGGACAACATTACTGAACTTATTCAAGCGCTGTGGTCATTCATTCTTTTTTTTTGTATCCAAAGTGATTTTCAAGAGGAAAACAAATTCTTATATTTTCATTAGTTTTGGAGCATCAAGGTGAAAAAGCTTTCATTCGTATTATGGTGAATACAAATTGATATATTTTAGCTGCTTATGTATACATGAATGAATAGGTTTTTCAGTTGTTACTGAAAATTTTAAATTCATTATTACGATAATATCTAAGCACCAGTTTGAAAAACCTATTGGTTCGTGTGTACATTAGCAGCTAAAGTAATACTAATTTGTGTTCACCATAGCACGAACAAACGATTATCTGTTATTTAGTAAATATTATTATAACTAGCGATTTATCTAGCGGTCGGGCCGAATGGACGGCGTCCTATCGATTTTTCAGCTGTCCGTGTTGAAAATGACAACTGATTTAGCAAAAAAAATAGCTCGTCAGACGGCAGATCCTCGGAACATTTATCTAATCCTTCGGTAAATGAAACATAGATAAATCACTAGCAAAAAGGGAGATATCTCTTTTCGCACATATATATCACATATATATCTGATCTCTGCTCTGTGTTTTGCTTCCCTTTTTCTTCCTCGTCCCTTTGCGTCATATGTGTGCCAATATTTGCACACGCATATCTTTTGCAAGAAAAGATATCTCCTTTTTTACTAGATGCCCCCTGGTTATAACCTTAGGTCAAGAAATAGTTCGTCTGTTCCTTACATGCGAACTTTTGGAGATAAAAAAAAGCAAAATGGCAGAAAAAGACTTGTTTCGTACTATGAGAAACTAGCTTTATAAAGATTTCTTGAGACTTTTAGTTCTTTTAAAAAAACCCGAACAAACGCGGTTTTTTTGTGCAGTTGTAGAGCGATAACTGTAGTTCAGCGTAACATAACCCAGTATTGCTTTTCTGCGATGTAGATCAATATCCTGTCGCCATTATGCAAAAAAATATTTGTAGGACACGTTTGCTGTAAGACTCACGAAAAATAGCGTTGTATTTTTCGTGATCTCAGCTCTATCGCGCTCATACGAAAACAGCTCTCGACTCCTCTCAAATATTTTTTAGCGATCGGGATTTATTCACATTTTTCGCCCACTACTAATAAATGAGTTGTATTATTCTTATTACCAGCTCGCAAACGCAAGATCTATGCTAGCCACGACCAGAGATCATCGCAGGACAAGGCTGCCCTGCTGTCCTGCCGGGCAGGGCGATATATATCTTTTGCCTTGCTCTGCAGCAGGGCAGAGCAACAAAAAATTCCTTGATCGGCCCTGCGAGAGATTAATTTTTGAGATTTTCAAGCTTCCTTTTAAGTAAAATTTTGAGATCTCTCGTATATGTGAAAATAAAAATGACAGTCTACTTTTCTACAATTGACAATTAATAAAAATAGATTCTGCTACGTATGAGAAACACATCCAGTATTTGTAATGAGTTTCTTGAAGATAAAGTCTTCTAGGTTAAGGAGAAAAACTTTCTTTTGCACTGCAGGGCGTTCTACCCAGCCAGACAGGGTCAAAAAAATTTTATAAGTAATTTTCTGGTGGGGCGGCAGGACAGGGCGCAAAAAGTTGCCCTGCGATGGTCTCTGGTCACGACATAATCGGCTGTCCTGAGCATGACATTTATCCATTTCTCGTCTTCACTAAATTAAAGTCAAGATTAAAGATTAATATCTATCGATTTTACAGAAATGTGATAAAACTTTGAACGAGAATCAACGGGGGCTGTATACTATGTGTCTGAGTAAGACAAAACGATGATGAAGTGTCTCACCGCGACTCTGTATCATATTGGAATTGTCAGAGAAAATCGTGATCGTAACATGATTTTAAAACTTGATTAGGTTGCGACAAGCGAGAGCTCTACTACAACAGAAGCAGTACACTGTAAAAAATAGTCGTAGATTAATAAACTATCAAAAAGGGTTTATTGAGACCAATAAACCTTTTAAAAAACGCTTTTCCGTTTTTTATATCCAAAAAACTAAAAAGCGTTCGTGACAGATGCAAAATGAAAAACGGCCGGTTTTTTATCAAAAATAAAAAACTCTTCAGTTTTTCAGCTGATATTTTAGACTTGACAAAAAACTGAAAAGGGTTTTTTATTTTTGATAAAAAACCGCCCGTTTTTCATTTTGCATCTGTCACGAACGCTTTTTAGTTTTTTGGATATAAAAAACGAAATATATATAAAAACGGAAAAGCGTTTTTTAAAAGGTTTATTGGTCTCAATAAACCCTTTTTGATAGTTTATTCATCTACAACTATTTTTTACAGTGTACTTGAGTCGATTCGATTTCTGATTGTTAAAACAATAATATTGTTCGACTTTTTAGTGAAAAAGAGATAATTGAAGCAATGTGTTCACCTGTATTATGTACTACTTGACTAGACTGTTGTTTTTTTCTACGGAAGCAAAGTTTGCCAAATTATCATTAACAATAAATCCTGTTTCATTTAATTTATGTGTATGTATGTATGTATGTCTCAAACCGTTTTATTTTGTTTCTTTTTCTCTTCTATACTTTTCCTCTCGCGAAAAAAAAGTGAGATATTGTTTGATATCTATTTAGAGGTACTTTATAGCAAACGGTAACCATATTACACACATATGCGAGAGTTATTATTGACAAGTGCCAATTCTCTATTTTATTTGAAAAAAAACCTACCACAATTTCTTCTTTTGTAAATGCGTTTACAATAAAAAATGAAAATGTGTATTCTTCATAGAAAATAACCTTTTTTTTCGTTTGTTAGCAACAGATAACCTAGTAACACAACCCCGGTACCCGACATCAACAATTCTTTTTAAAAATTCATATACACGCTTTTTTTTGTTGTTTCCATCAGTTGATTTAATTTTAATCAGAAAGAGAAAAGAAAAAAAAAATCAATTTTTTTGTTACACAATTCTATTGTTGTTATGGTAGATGGTGTTTCGTTCGTTTCCAGAAAAAATCTTTTTTTTTTTGAAGAAAATGTCAGATTTCTTTTTTACACAGACATCTATCTATCTAAAACAATCTCAAATGAAGTGACAAATTTTCATTTTTGTACACAAATTGATAATTTTCTTTTCTTTTACTTGTGTGTATTATGAACTATTTCTCAACAAATGAGAATTTCAAAATAAAAGTAGTATTATTTTAAAATTCTTTTCTTTGAATAGATGTAAGCACTTCTTTCTTGTTAGACATCTGTAATCAGGACATTTTTTTAAATCATTTTGAAGCTCACTAGAAAATTCTTCAATGACGAGAAAAATAAAATTTTTTTTAAAAAGTTTTTCTTACTCTACTTATGCAATAATATAGTTACAGAAAAAAATGACATGGGATTGCTGCAATTTTTTTCTCTCGTAGATAGTTTCCTTAAATGTTAATTAAATCACATTAAATCCAGATTTTGTAGTACAATGAAAATGAATACATTCATTAAAAAAGATTTTTCGAGTATTTTTTTAATCAAAGATCGTACAAGTCACCAATTGTTTGAGTTCAATATGTAAACACAACGATACAATTAATACGTTCTGTCTCGTTTCTGTTTATTGTCTAAAACACTCTCTCGACTCAATTCTTCATCATTTGTTTACTTAGTGATGGACATTGTTCACTTTCTTGGTGACTTGTTCGACAAGTATAATCCTTTATGATGTTATGAATTTTATTTTCTTCAAAGGAAAACGTATATATTCAAAACAATGGTATGTCTCTAAGTATTATAGATTCGAAATGTTATCAACACGGATTAAAATGATCGATCAGTCATAGAATCTACCGTACCTTCTTGAAATTGATCATTTGACCTTAACCTTCCTGAATCGCCTAAAATGTAATTATTAAAATGAACTCTTATTCTAAGCCCAGAGTTCAACATTTACAGATTCATCAGTTTTAGTCACTTATTTCTTTAAACAAAATATAATAAAATAAAAAAAGTTTAAATCACTGTTAAGAGACAATTATTAGTCAAATTTTATCCATATTTTGATTTTTTATTTGCTAATGCTAATCGACGAATATACGATATGCAACCGGCAGCATTTTCTTGTAACGAATCATCATTTGATCCTACTATTTCCATTAATAACTAAAAAGGAAAACTAACGTGTTATAACGGGTGGACCATAAAGAATGGATCGTTCTGTAGTTTGATCATCACTTTCCCGCTTAGATTGTCAAGAGTCGAAAGGTGCGTCTTGAAATTCTCTACAAAAAACGTACTGAATGTTCTATTACGAAATACGAAAGTAAATAAGTACACGAGAAATACAGAGAAGTTCAAAAATGGTCAATTTTCCAAAGTATTTATCAGCGTATCCAAATTGTTTTTTAAACGCCTACAAAGGCATTAGGATACATCAGAATATTGTAAAATGTGCTGCAGAGCTGGGTAAGGCAAGCCTCTTTTCGAGTCGAGTCAAGTTATTTTTGTCATTTTTCTGTTTTCTGTTTATTTTTAAAAACAACGTTTACAACAATTTTTTCATGACACAATATCTGGTTCCTAGTTTTAATGCTCAAAAACTCGTTCTGATGCAATATATTCAATTAGGACGAGATTTATAAATAAGTAAAAATTTAGTCTTATAAATTGTAATTTTTTTATAAGAGCAAATGAAAATGTTTTGAAACTCGAGTCAAACAGTCGAGTCATGAGTCACCCAATTTACGAGTCCAAGTCATGACTTGGACTTGCCCAGCCCTAATGTGCCGTTTCTCATGGTGTATGACTGATTATGCTTAAACCTAGTGTTACAGTGCAAAATATAACTTATTGAGAGTTTCAATGGACCGATACGAAGTAGACATATATTATTGAGTAATAGGTAGATACTTTGCTTTATACCTTGCTTTATACATATTTTATCACTGAAGAAGCCCTTAACCTATAAGAGGTCGAAACGTTTGGTTTTGTCAAATATTTTTAAATATTTTTAATCTGTTTTAATAAAAATACGAAAACAAAAGTATCTACCTGTTACTCAAAAAAGATAACTTTATCCAAAATGACTAAATAACATGAAAAATTTTATCTGTCCACTCAACATAATCATAAAAAGAAAACTATTAAAGTCCTCGTATTTGGATATAACAGATATATCAGTTCCATGTAAAATAAAACAGATTTGAGCCGAAAAGGCTTTATTATGAGAGAAATATAAGGATTTTGTATAACAGTGCGAAACTGCTGTTCGAAATCGATGATTTTTGTAGAATAGCGTAAAAACAAAAAAAAATTCTCTTTCAATTCATTGTAGTGTAGAAAATTATAATTATAAGTAGAAGGAAGAGCTTTTCAAAGGCTACAAAATCGCTACTGAAAATTTCCAGTATACAGTACAGATAAAGGAATAAAATAATAAAGTTCTGAAAAACCAGAAAAAGTTGCTCATGTTGGAGCTTCTCTGTATTTTTCGTGTACTTATTTACTTTCATATTTCGTAATAAAACACTCAATACGTTTTTATATCAGATGATTTTAAATATCGAACTAATGATGCAACAGCAACCTAATGCTTGACAATTATTGACCCATTCACAACATTAAAATTTTGCAATAAACAGGTGCAAAATGCTGGGAGTGGTCATTTGCCTCAAATCTCTAGGATGGATGAAAGCCTCTGCGTCTACTACTCACCTTCAGATATTTTCCTAGACGTTGAATTTGCCAATATTCTGTTGGTAAATGTGTTTGATCCTGCCTTGATCGTTCTAACAATTGTTCTTCGTTGTCATCATCACCACTACTCGACTCGTCGGATGAATTTTTTTAATTTCTACTCGTTGTGTAACAGCACGTTCGGTGGTAGGTCATGATAAATTTGTTTCTTTTCGTAAAGTATGAATAAAATGTGAAACTGTGCATTGAATTATTAAATTCACCCGATAATAGAAAATTAAGACTTATAACATACTCAGTGGGAAGTGTTTCCCAGTCACGTGATGATAGTAGGAGCTTTTGATGACCTTTGTCTGGAGATGAATAATCTAAAAAAATGATTTCAGATAAAAATGAGACGCAAGAAACATCAACTATACTCGCCTTATCTTACTAGATGGCATTATAAAACAAACAAATAAGCTAGAATGAAAAAGAAAGATCTGCTCACAATTGCTGTTCCAGAATGAGCAATCTATAGTAAGTGCGTTATCAGACCTGAACGTGAAGTTGAAAAACTATTCTTCAAAAGCTAGTACGTTCAGCGTTCAAATCGAATTAGCGCTGTTCGCCCTGATGTGAAGATATTATGATAAACTAAAGGTACCAGTATATTGGTACTCAACATGTGTGAAGCACATGGTTGAAGTTTAGTACAACATCGTTCGTTCATTTTATTTAAGATTTCTTAGCAACGCGATGTGGATTAACTGATTTAGTTGAATTCTTGATATTCATAGTTTAAATGATAACTTCAAGTTATCAGAGAATGTTTTGATCTTCTGCAATTTCTGTAATACATAGCACATCACACACCAATGCACTTTTCATTGTGTGTTTAACCTCTGGCTGCTCAGCAGCAGTAGGAAAGAACATCCCAAAATGGTGGAAACAATTTATTATAACTGTAGAATCTGCACTTCGGGTGATTGTTTCATTAATATTCCTAAATAAATCTTAAACTTCCGTGAGCACTTAAATCTTGCCATAGTCTTAGTTAAATGTTGATCTAATTCGTGGTGTTCCACCACACATCTCAAATGTCCACTTAAGTTTGTCGTAACTTCATGAAATGCGATCGTAAGTAGCTATTGACTTAAGACATCTCGAGGGTTATTTTGAGTCAATGCACTTTCATCGTCTTCACTACTCATCTTTACGTCTTCATCACTCTAAATATGTGCATCCCCTTGCCCCTGCTCCCCTCCCTGATCGGGAACCCTGCTTCTGTTGATGATTTTTCTCCGCAAACGGTGCATTCTTCTTTTTTTTATTCAACTATTGCTGAAGTTTCACTCTTAAAACGACACACTAAAACTTGACTTTAGTTTTCTAAGATTGTTGATGAAACGATTGTCAAGACAACTAATACTGAAAGTTTATCTTTGAAAAATAACAGTTTCGATATTATAAAAAGTGCTTAGGATCAAAAGACGCTTCAATAGAAGCACTGCGAAATGAGAAGTCTATGCTCCCTGGGTAGTGCGTTTCGAAAGTATCAGATAGAAAACGCAGTCCTGCGTGAGTTCCCTAACGGAGAACTTGCGAAGATTAAAGTTATTAGTACATGTATCCGACTCTGATTCTAGGTAAAAACATTGACGAATATTGAAACTAGATCTCATGTTATGAATAAGTTAAACGAATTTTCTCATGGATGATCAACTACTGAAACAACTTGCTGTTCAAAAAGAAAAAGAATGGATAGCGGTTCTTCAGGAAAGGTATGTTTGAACTTAAAATATTACTACCTATGCCAAGGTACGATTTATTTATTTAGACTTAATACGCTTGAAATAACTGTTCAAAACAAAGATACACACTTGGCTGAACTGAATCAAAAATATACACAAGTCAAAGAAGATTTTAAATACAATTTAAAGTTGATCGATGATAGAGATAAAGAACTTGTGACATTCGATAATCGTTTAAAAGGTACCGTATCTCTTCTCTAATCTATCAACTATAGTTGAAAAATTCTTCCAACTATTTATAGAATTCAAAAAACAATTAAATAATAAAGATAGTGAAATATCCGACTTAAAAATAATTAATGATCAATTACGTTTTGCCGCACAACAAATTGAATTACAAGTAGAAGAAGAAAAAACACAATTTATACATCGTTTAAATCAAAAAGATAAAGATATCAACGCTTATAAACGTCAATGTGATGATGCCCTAAATGATGAACGTCAACAAATTGAGCAAGAACGACGTGCTGTAAATAGAAAGTTATCAGAACTAGAAGCAGAATTAGATCGACAACGTCGTGAATTATCAAATGATTTTGAAACACACACAAGAAAATTAGAATTTGAATGGAAAAAAAAATTTGATGATATACAAAATGAACAATTGGCAAGTGAATTAAAAGTAAATATAAGGAAAAGACGAAGAGAAGCAGCATTTCTAATTTGTCTGACTTATTTTTCAGAGTAAATTGTTAACCGATGAACTTGAACAAGAAAAAGTTTCTAATCGAAATTTAGAAAGTTATAATATTGAGTTAAATGAAAAATTGAAAGCATGTGAAAAATTAATTAAAGAACGCGATTGGCAACTTCACGAGGTTGAATCGATTAAAAATGCAAGGTAAAAAACCGATAGTTCGTGCTACGAAAGAAAGAAAAGACATAAATTTGTTATATGTGTTTAGAATTCGTGAACTTGAACTAAAAACGACGAATGTTGATTCGAAAATAAAAGAACGTGAAGATGATTTTAGTCGAAAGTAAGATATAGATGCAGTAGCAGGACGTTTATTTCTAATAATTTTCCATAGACATGGTGAACTTGATCGATTAGTGCGTGAAAAAGACTTGATGCTGGAACAATTGAAGCAATCTTATCAAGAATTACAAGAAAGATTAATGAATGAAAATCAAATACTATTGGATCAAGTTGGAAAATTGAAAAAAGAACAAAATGAAACACAACGTGATTTTGAACATGATTTGAGAGAAAAAGAAGCGAGTTTATCAAGGTATTTATTATAATTTCCTGTCCTCAGAGGTCATGACCTTCTCTTATGGTTTCGCTTAAGAAACCACCACTTTTAAAGATCGATTGAAGATGGAACATTCAGTGATTTTTTGCCCTCCTATTCACTTATCACATATTTGTCTCTCTTTCATTCTCTGGATGCGGAGATTGTAAGTCTTTGGATCTTTAGACAAATAATTTTATTGACGGCATTAGAAATTCAGCTTTTTTTAATCGTTCTTTTTATTATCTAGATTACAAGATGAAATAAATCGCTTAAAAAAAGAATATAATTATCAACTATCACAAGTATCTAAGGAAAATGCAAATCAAAACGTTGAACATCAAGCAATACAAGAGGAATGTGATATGTTGAAAGGAGAATTAAAAATTAAAGATAATCATATTAATCGGTGAGTAGTAGTCTTATATCAATCAAAATGACCGTTTCATCTTCTGTGTATTATTTTAGATATAAAAAAGAACTCGAAGAAGGCTTTGATCGTGAACGTGCATTAGAAGAAGCCAAAGCTCAACTTGATATTGATTGGCAACGAAAATTTGATCAAGGACAAAGACAAGAATATCATAAATCAGAAAATTTAATTGAAAAAGTAACAGATGCACATCAACAGGTTAGCACTAGGATGAGAGATTAATGGTATATGATTCTTTATTCATTTCTTTCTTAAGGCACTTGCTCAAGTAAAAAAATTAGAAAATGATATTCGATTTAAAGATGATCTATTAAATGCATACTCAAATCAATACAAATCCGTGAGTCGTCATTTGTAAGAAGTGTTTATATTCAATATCAAATTAATATATTCTATATTTCTTTTTTTTTTCTTGGTTAGAGTGGTGGTAATCCGGATGTTATTGTGACTCTACAACGCGAAAATGAAAATCTTCGTTCTGTTATAACGCAAATGAGACAACAAATGGAATCATTGGCAACAGATTTACCAGGAAATCCAGTATCAGGACAGCCAAGTAAGTTTAATCAAATAGAGCTTTCTAATTGTATTATCTATCTATCTTTGCTATATTTAGACGTAATTAATCAATTACAAAAAGATAATCAAGAACTTCGTCAACAAAATCGTGACCTTATTATGAGACTTGATTCAAGACATTCGAATGATTCGACAACAATTGAAATTGATCATACAATGGCAAATAATGAATTACGAAAAAATCCTCAATTAAATAGCTATGTACAATCATTGAATAATACAATAGGTATGATGAAGAAACATCTCTTATCGTCTATAAAATTTTGTTATTTAATAGATTTCTTTTTTTTTTTTTATAGCTTCGCTACGAACAGATAAAATGCAATTGGTTGCACAAGTTCGAAAACTAGAAGGACGTCTAATACAAATTGAAAAAAATCACGATAATTTTCAACGTGAATTGCGACAACGACAATCACGTATTGATCAATTGCAATATCAATTAAATGCGGATGATCGTCGACATCAAACTGAAATAAATAGTTTAAAACAAAAATTAAATGATTTAGATGTTCAATTGATTGAAACAAGACGAGAAGCGGATGAGTATCAAAAAGCAATTATTGAGAGAAATGCGGATGTAACAGAAGTGGAAAGAAAGGTATTTTTTGTATTTGTTTGTAGATACAAACATCAATTATAAACTTTTATTAAAATTTTTATTTACAGTTAAGCGAAGCAAAACTTGAAGCAGCTGGAAAAATACCATTATTCAATTATGGTGGTCAAGAAATTTTAATTCAACAATTACAAGATGAAATTGAACGTTTAACAAAAAGATTTACTGGTAAAAGAAAAGAGTCTATTTTTCTTGTATCGATGACTGGTTGATTCTTTTTTTTTGTTTTTTTTGTAGAATTGAGGCCACATTTGAATAATGAAAACGATGATCCGGCAGGAAAACGTATAACCGACATACTTCTTCAACAAGAAAATGATCAATTAAAACGAAAACTTGAACAAGCAACAAAATATATTAAAACATTGGTATCCGATAAAGAACGATTATTAGAAATAAGTAATCATTTACGTTCACAATTAAATAAAAGTTCAACCGTTAGTAGTAGACCAATAGTTCAACAACGTAGTATCGATGTTATACCAACGAATATTCGTGCAAAGAAAGATGTATTAAATCTTGAAAGTAAATTAGAGAGACTAGAACAATTGCAATATGCATTAACAAAACAAGTATTTATCTATTAATTGGTAGTATTATGTCTATGAAAGATATGTATTATTTTTACTATCATAGGAATTAGAAAATCGCAAACGAGCAAGTCATGTAGCATCCGAAATGCAACAACAACAACAAAGACCAAGAAGTGTGCCTGCAGAAAAAAACGAAAGTAAGTAATAGCAAAATTACTTGGACATAATTTTCTTACACAGTGTGTTTTGTTTGATCACAGATTATATCATATTTTAGATCTTCTCAATGTTAGTGGAAATACGATAACAACTGTAGCTTCCGAACAAATTCGTGATCTATGGAAAGTATTAGATAATACACCGAGTAAAATGTCTCCTCAAAGTACGTTCAATGAGTTGTTGTTTTTTCTTACAAAAAAAAAGAATTTGTTAAAGATTTTATTCATTTTAGAATCAATGAATATCAATCCTCAAAGAAAAGCGTTAACTGCTCGACAGCAAACACGTCCAAATCGAACAAATATCAAACCAACAACCGAATCAATAAAGCCACGTGTCATTCGTAATTATAATATTAAAGATCATTGAACAGTTATTGTAGGCGTTTATTAAATTTTTAGCCAGATTCGTTTGTCAGATAATCGTTTTTCTGTTTTTTGTTCTTATTTTCTTTTTATACCCACAATTTTGCTAGTTAAATTTGTATACTGTATGTAGGCGAGGCGGTCTAAATTTTATATTTTTTCATTTAATAAGATTTTCTAAATAATTGACTTTCGTATTTTACTGATAGATTAATCACCGTAAGATTTTTAGTATCAGAGATTACTATACGTAAAAGACAGTTTTAGTATAATCTTAATCTCGATCGTTTAGTGACCCATAATCATTGTTTAAATTATAGTCTATAATCAATACTTTTAACCTCTCTGATTTCTCAACCTTGACCAGCTGTTTTTTCTTTATAATTTATTACTACAAAAGTATCCGGCTGGTTCGTTTTTTTGCCTATTCTCGTCAATATGTCACCAATACAAAGAACTCTAGAGTTTAACAATAATTTTAGACAATGTCTTTTTATTCTAGATCACCTCTTCTATTCTTTTCTCTCTTATTCCCTGATTTATATTTATATTCAATCAATTTTTTCTAAACTCGTTTTGTGTTTGTGTGTGTGTGTGTATATGTGAACTTTATTTCATTCTATTTTTTTTAACCTATTATAATTTTATTATCATTATTTTCAACGAAAAAAACATTCCTTCTTTAAATGTTGTCATCGAAAAACGGAGAAAGGTAAAGAAATGTTGACTGTTTTATTTTTTTTCAATATTATGCTCGTATTCTGATATATAATAGATTACGCAAAAGGAAGAGAGTATAAGAGAGAGAGAGAGAGAGAGAAAACCAGTTTGTTTGCTTGTTATAGACGAATATCATCAATTCATCAGTATAATCATTTTTCGATTTTTCTCTATACATGCATATATGTTGGTTATATTATTAATGACAGATATGTTCGATTTGTTCGTGTTTTTTCTATTTTTTATTGAATATGCTCTGTATAAAAATTTCGTCGAAAAATTTGATGTATATATGTCTTTAAAAAATGGCATAATTAACATAGAATAAAATAGAGACATTGTTAAACTCTCTTGTAGTTTGATACTAGTTTAAAAAAATTTAAATTTTTTCACTTTTACAATTACTACTAAAAATTAAGGCAAACTTAAATTTTTAATATTTTATAGGTTAAAGTAAAAATATTCAGGAAAATATCGCAAACATGACAGACATCATTTCAATATCATCATCAACAAACAATCTTGCCCAACGTTTACAAAGTGCTGAAAAATCAATAACATTTATTCAACGAGAACATGCGTCAACATTGCAAGCATTACATGAAGAAATATCTAAATTACAAAATAAATGTAGCGGTATGCTATTATAGTCAATTCTAGTTTAGGACATTAGTTTGTCTTTGTGATACAGAACCGGATCTAGAGAGAATACAAATTTCTGATTGGAGATTATCAGAGCTGCAGAATCTGCCTGTTTGCTCCGACAGTCGCCGAGGGAAAATTTATTGATTCAGAGAAATCTTTTTGAAAATCTTTTGTAAAAAGAAATTCTGTTCGTGAATTATGTCGAGAAATTTTTTGACAAACTTTTTCCGTCGGGGGAAATTTCCCATTCTCACGGGTAGATTCTGCATCTCTGGATATTATTATCAAGGACATAAAGCTCTTTTTTGTTTAGATCTCACGTTCCAAATGGCCATTGGTAATGGTCATATTATCACAAATTCTGCCGTTGAAAGTAAACTATTTTCTCAGAAAACACATATTGTTACGATGATATCTATTTGTTTTTTAGCCAAATTTCAAGCAAGAATCGAACGGTTAGAGAATGAGATATTAAAATATAAAGATGAAATAGAAATATTGAAAAAAACATTAAATGAAAAAGAAATGACAATTAACAGTTATGAAACAAAGTTGCTATTGAACGATCGTCAATATGCCAGTGATATACGTTTACAACAGGAAAAATATCGACTACTTAAAATAGATTTAGAAAAACGTGCAACAATCATAGCTGAATTAACTACACAAATACATCGTGAAAAACAATTACAAACAAAACGTTTAGGACAAATATTATTACCGAATAAACCAATTTTATTACGTTCAAATAATCAACAACAAGAATCACAAGATACATCGACAAAAAGTGATATTGATACAACAATTTCTAAACGTCGTTTATCAGCGCGTTCATCATCATTAACAAATCGAACAACGGATTCATCCTCTAAAGGTTTATTTCCTTCAAAGCGGCCACCGACTCCACCACAAGCACTCAATAATGAAAAACGGCATAGTACTGCATCTCCAGTACCGGTTACTGTTTGGATTCCTAAAACAACTATGGAAAATTATTTAAATAATCAAACAACAACTGAACCAGAAAAATACACAAAACGTCAAAGACATTTGTTAATAAATGCTAATACAACATCGCCATTGCTAGATGCTAATTTTTCTATAAAAACCATACCAATGCGTCTTAATGGACCACTTCCACCAATTGTCACACGAAAAGTTCCATTAAAAGCATGGAGTAATATACAGCCAGAAGCTTAAATCTAATTTTAAGCTCAAATTATACAATGAAGATAGTACGATTATAGAACTTCTTACTTAAAAAGTTACCAATACTTATCTTATATTCACCTCAAAGGAGTCTTGAATCAAATTAAAATTTTGAAATTTATAATAGGTATCCCCTATAATTTTAAACATTTCCATTAGACGATTGTTTTCAATTTTTATATTTCAACAATATCTTTAAAAAGTCTTTTCGAACAGGTCATTCATTTTGTCTTACACATCGATCCAATCTTGTATTTATATCCTATACAAAATGTGAAACTCAACGTGGTACAACTTTAATTTAAATTTTAGTTTTACAACCACATAATATTAGCAAACATTCACTTCTAGTATTTTATGTGATATTTTTTAATCAGTGATGATTGGTCATATTACCGTTTTCTTTCCCTAACGGCGTCTATAAGACAATAGCGATTAGCTTCCTATCTGAAACAGTTATGGATGATTATTCTCGTATGTATTTTCTGTAAATTACTCTTTATTCTTATTTAACGAATCGTCTGTATTTATAATGTTCATTTTTTTCTGTGACAGTATTCTTCGAAATAAATTCACCACATAAAGAAATGACTATTTGCTATTCTAGACGCATAAATTTCATAAAAATTCATAGAATATTTTTTATAAAAAGAGGGGAGACGATTTCCACGATAATCGACTCTTACTCATTTTGATTATCCATTCGTTTTCCGTTATTGAGTTTAGTCTCTATTTGCCCACAATCAAAGAAAAAGTTTTTCAAAATTGATCAGCCGTGAAAAGATACTCTTTTTCACTTTTGTGTTCTTTTTCAGTTTTATAAAATGTTTGCTAATATTATGTGATATAGTAACAAATAGCACCTACAAAACTATATTTATGAAATATTTTTGACACACCAATGTACGAAATAATACGCTCAGTTTGATGACGGTACCTAAACATGAACAGTGTAATATTTGATATTTTCTATATAACTTTTTAGGTTTAATAGCATATAAAGTCCTTTATACATATTATTTGATAGAGCTTCGAAAGCTCCACAGATATATATCGAAATAAGAAATTTTGCAGTTGGAATATCGTGCCACTAAACTGAAATAACATTTACAAGTACTATTCGGCGACTTTGATTAATTCTGAAACTACATGAAACATGCGTAATCAACCACGCGTAAGGAATCTTGTGGTAATGTTCGTTTTTGGAAAAGAGCTCAAAAAGCGGAAAATAGGATTTCTGGTCCATTTTCACCTAATACAGTTCATTCAAAGTACATTATAAAAATCCGACAGGTTCGGAATGTGGACCATTTAGGCTGTTCTGTATCGTTCATAACTGAAAATGAATGCAAAGTGAAGAAGAGTATCGTTTCACGACTAATCGACTTTGAAAAACTTTTTCCTTGGTTGTGGACAAATAGGGACTAAAACCAATAACGGAAAACGAATGAGATCAGCTATCTTCCTCGTTAATGGATAATCAATCATGGATGAGGGCTGATTACCGTGGAAATCGTTTGTACTGTCTTTCCGACTTACCTTTTCTTAACACTTTTCATAGCTGTCAACAATAATGGGAAAATTTTACAGCTCCAATGCAATAGTTGCATTAATCTCCTTTTTCTCCTTTAATCAATTATCAAAAAAGTTTAGAATATCGTTTATCAATAAAATAAAAATTTAGAATATTTTTTTCCACTATATTGACAAATCAGATGAAGGAAACTTGAATGCTCGTAAATCTCCATAAGACATTTGTTCAAGAAAAGGTAAAATCTATGAAAGAGAATGACGCTATCAAATTGATACTCTTGATCTGTCTATTAGAGAACAAATTCGAATGTATTTGTATCTAGTTTAGGAAAGAAAAACAATTATATGACATAAAGTCTCTAACAAGAGACGAAAAAGTGTTACTCATGAAGAAAAACTCTGTATGACATAAGTATACATAATGGCAGGGATGAGAGTCTAAAATTCGAAATACCTGTCAGGTTTTTCAGGTGGCTGTCTAAAATTTTTCAGATTTTTTTAAAAAATTCAGACGATCAAAAAACAGTTTCCTTCAATGCACTGAGCAATTCTTTTGTAAAATATATACTCATGGTACTCTACCTTTTTGTTCTTTAGAGGTATCTTAACTCACTTTCCAAGGTCAACCAAGGTCAAATATCTCTAGATAATATTTCACTACGTGGTTATAGAAAAAAGTATTATTAACACATTAGAGACAACACAGACAAAGAAACGCGTGTACGTATATAGAAGGAATATAAAAGTCGTCTCATTTAGTCATATATGTAGATGTACATATCGTGCACAGAATTGACTTTCCGATGATTAATTTTTATTTTAATTAGCCTTTTTCTTGTAGAAAAAAAGAGATATATAGTTTTTTTTGCTATAATGGATTTACTTTCCAATAATTAGATAACATATGTATACTAACTAATAAAGCAGATTAACTGCTAATAAAGCAGCAGTACCATTCATTTGCAAAGTATTCAATTAAGTAGCCAGTTGACTAATGATTGTTCTTCCTAAAACTTAGTCACAATGTTTGAATGAATTTAAGTAGTTATCAGGGTGAGGATCACAGTGGGTATTTTTTGCTAGAGCAGGCGGACTTTAGCTTTATGAGTGAACTAAAATTTCATGAACCATTTTTTTATAGGTTTTTCATGATCCTCTTTCTAATGGCATGAGAGTTGGGTTTTGGAAAAGTTTTCTAAGGAGTTTTCCAGAGATCCGATCTTTCGAAAACCCTTCAGAAAACTTTCTCAATATTTAAAAACGATGCCACTGGAAAGAGCATTGTCGAAAACCTATAAGAAACATGTTTCGAG